GACCTAAAGCATATTACATGCAGTTTTACTTTGTGTGCACTCCTCTTTTTTATGTTATGTTAATCATGGACTAGTGGTCAGGACAGAGAGGACCAGTGCTGGCATAGCACTGCTCAAGCTGGCACTTGTGAAAACCCTTCAACAGGACAGTTGATGCTTTATCATTCATGATAATATGTTCTTTTGAGAAAACTACAGATCCTTAAAGCATCCATTGTTTTAGCTTCCTTTTACTTTCCTAACCCATATTTTGGCAGTTTCTGAATGATGCTTGTGGAAATCATAAAAGGAGGAGCAGTGAATTTGGATTATCACCGGACCTGGAAAATTCTCTAGCTTAGGTTTTGCATGAAATACATACTTAGAAGTTTCCCTACAATAATATTTATAATATATCATAAATATAATAATAGGTGGGTATGGAGATGGAAGTTTTTGTGGCAGTAGTTGCTAAATAAGCAAAACTAACCTTAAGACTTAAGGCTGAAAGAGTGGCAGGAAATTTTCTCTACAGTTACTTCTCATAGAATTTTCCTGCTTTACTTTGCCATCCTGGAAAAACCATTTTTTTTTCTTTTATTGATCTAGAAATTTAGAGCAAAATGCTGGACTTTATGAAGAGATACTAATGTGCTGTAGTTATCATATCCTTAAATAAATAAGACATGACCACATCTCAAGAAGTGTGTTTATATTCTTTATCTCTTTTCCAGTTAGCTCTGTTTCCTTAAAGTGTTGCTGAACTAGAATGGAATAAGACATTAAAATTTTGTAATCATGGATAATAATTTTCCAGGTTTTCTTGCTCACCTCAAGTTAGTTCCACATTACTACAGTTTTAGAAACTATGTTGAAGGTACACATTCAAATTAGGCAAATATTATTTAACAAGAATCCTGTAAATGCCAGCCATTTCACCAGACTTTTAAAATAAAATGTATATAACATGTGCATTTTAATCATCACAAAAACCATAAGGGGTAGCTAGTATTCTCCCTATGAATTGTGCTTTCTTCAGGTTTTAGAGCTGTTATCATCTTTGCATCTTTTCTTAGTATGGACACTGTGCTGGCAGCTTTGCCTTTGTTATGCAGTTTAATCCACTCAGCAGCCTTACTAGGTAGATTAATCAGCATTTCAAATCCATTAAGGACCTGCGGCCAAAAGCAGTGGGCTAATTCCTCAAGACTGTTGGTGAAGAAGTTTGAGAATGCTATGTACAGAAGTTGGTGGAGCCAGAATCTAGAACAAATTTCCAATGCTCCCTTCTGTATGTTGTAAGGTGGTCATGCCTCGGAGCAGACAATCTGTCCTCAGTGAGCAGTTGCTGTCTGTATTTGACCTGTGGCCTCAGCTGAGTGTGTGTGTGTGTGTGTGTGTGTGTGTGTGTGTGTGTTTAATGGCACAGTTTCTGCAAAGGTTCCTGATAACTGCTCACCAGCACAAGGACAGCCTTGTGTAGCACCACCTGTATTCTCTTTGCATCAGATGTGCTGATGCTGCTATTAAAGACGGCACCTCCCTTTTGTGCTCATAGCCACTCCCCAGCTGAAGCCTTACTTGGTCTTGTTCTTCTCCAGAGCTCTCTTTACACATAAAAAATGCCCATTTATGATGGAAAGTCACAGATGCAGTTTCTGTCACTAATAGCATCCCCTGTTCCAGAGGATCAGCTTCAAGCTGATGCATGGAAAGGAGGAACAAGTAAATATCTAACTGAAAGCAACCTTGGAAACTCCCTGCAGCTAAGTATGGGAGAGACTGTCTCAATAATTGGTTAGCCATATTCTTGCTTTATTAGCCATGGTGTGGGACAAATAATGAGGACAGAGCACGCTACATTTAGGCTTTTCCATTTGGCCTTTCCAGAATTTTTATTAAGGATATTGCAGGTACCACAGAAATGGATCATTCTGCAGTTGGTTGCCAAAGTATTCACATTGTGTGTCTGAATCCAAATAGTGGCCAGTGGTTCTTTTAGACCAAGCTCCTCGGTGTAACTGATCATTTTTTTCTCCATGATCCTAGGAAAGTTTACTTTTAATCTTATTTATAGACCTGAATATCCTGCCAAAATGTATTTAGGGAAATGCTTTATTATATGCTTATTTTTGAAGTCTTTCTTTTGAAATAGTTGTTCATTAAAATGTATAGAGAATGTGTCATACTTTTTCCTGTTTTTCAGATACTGGTCCTCTGGGATTTTTGAGAACCAATATGTTTAATAGTTTAACTTTAGAGGAAAACTGAAAAGATAAAAAAAGAAAGTGAGCAGAATTGATATGTATCCAAATCTTAGCAATTATAAAAGTTCATGTTGCAATCCTATTTTAGTGTAGTTCTGATCTCTATTATCCAATATTAGTTTCACAAAAGGCTTGAATAGCTTTCCTCTGACTCTTTAACCCTTGTTTTAGTGCAGAAGGTGTGTTGAGAAAGGATCTTTGATGTCTTATGGCAGGGAGGTCATGAAATTGCATTAAGGATGTACCTCAGGAAGAGCAGTTTCCCAGACACCGTCTATATAGCCGCTTGTGATCTCACATTTGCTGTTTGTCTTCAAAAGCTCAAGTGGCTCAGCCATCTTAGCTCACAGCTAAGAGTCATACCATCTAACATTGGCTGTCCTGGCCTGCCTTAAGTTCTGTGGCCACAGAATTTGCCTTGATATGATGATTAGAAATGCTATGTAGGAGGAATCAAACTGCTGAACATGGCCGAGGTACCAGCTTTATTTGTGACTCATGCTGCAGAAGTCACCTGACATGTCTTGCTTCAGAGTCCCTGCCATGTATTATAGATGGGTATAAAAATATGTGTACAGCATATTCTAGATGTTCTTAAACTGAGAAGAACAGATACTACACTTGATCTTAAACAAAAGGCTGAAAAGAGATATAAGATGTTTTTAAATAAGTGGAGTATGTAAAACAAATTCATCTTAAGCCTTTTAGAACAAAAAGTAATAAAAGAGTAGGTTTTGTTACTAAATATTAATATATTTCTTTTGGGAATGGATTTTTGCTTGTTTCATTGTTTGAGCCAATCATCTTTCAGCTTGTTTAATTTTTCCATGCGATTCATCCTGAGAGAGAGGAAGCCAACAGACCATGTGCCATGTTGGAGACCCCGCAGTCCCTCCTTTTGGGAGTTAGAGCCCAAGGTCAAAAGGGATCCATATGGAACAGAATGGGGACCCAGACCAAAAGTTTGTCTTCTTTAGTTTGTTTTTTCTTTTTCTTTTTCTTTTTTTGGTGGAACTGGGGATTGAACTCAGACCCTTGAGCTTGCCAGGGAAGCACTTATTCTACTGAGCTATTTCCCAGGCTCTTTAGTTTGTTTTTCTTATTTCATTTGTTTCCTAGCTTTCTATATGACAGTAAACATTTTTTAATTCCTCTTTTGTCTCCAACCATACTGGATAGATTTTAGGCAAAATTAGTTTTCCTGTATGGGTCTCATATCCTGACTTCCACTCATCAAATAAACCTGTGCATTTCTCTTCTCAGATTTCTCTAGGTGGGCTCTCAGACATGACAAACAGAAGAGGTAACATGAGGACTTGGATTAGAGGGTGGGGAATTTGCAGCAGTCTGCTTTTTGAATGTTGGTGGGCTATGTGCTCTTCATAGACAATCTGAGGTGTCACCTCATATGGCTATAAGTTAAGAATAGTCTCTGAATAACTGTTTACTTTATAATAAAGGAAGCTTCCCATGAGATGAAAAGAATTTTATTTAATAAAGAAAAATATATTATATGCATTTATAAGATAGTTTGGATAGATATACAGCTACTTTTTCTTAGTTCAATGAGAAGAAAGGTTTGTACTAATATTGGTAAGAAGAAATCATGTCTACATCTTGTGCTCTGAATAGCTATTATGAAGACAACAATATGAAATGTATTAATTATTATAACTGTCATACAGCCTGTTTTGAAACTGTTTCATTGCTATTTTATCTTTTTTTCTCATGAAAATGAATAAAAGATAAAAAACTATATGAATGAAAGTATTCTAATTTTGATAAACCAAGGGGAAGGTATGTTTAATAAGTAAAGTTCTATAAGTGGCATCCTAAATCTATGAAGTTGCCACATTCTGTGAAAATAACTTTCATAAGAAAACATTTTTTAGGGGCCAGGGAGATGGCTTAGTGGATTAAGCACTTCCCTGGCAAGCACAATGGCCTGAGTTCAATCCCTGGTTCTGCCAAAAAAAAAAAAAAAAAAAAGAAAGAAAACTATTTTTAAATTAAATTATTCATCCCCATTATACTTACATAGGATTGTTTAATTTTCACATACTTATACACATATAGTTTCTCAGTAGTCTAAATTTTCAAAAATACAAATTAGTAAATTCTTATTTAATGATGCTCTGATTTGTGAAATTGTACTTCTGAGAATGTACTTGAAGACAGTGGTCAGTTTGATTATTAGCAGTAATTTCTTTCAACAGCCAAAATGTATGGGCTGTATTTTATTTTATTTTATTTTTTAAATTTTTTTTTTAACATTTATTTATTGTGTGTGTGTGTGTGTGTGTGTGTGTGTGTGTGTGTGGCCAGCTCAGCCCACCAGGGGGCGCAGCTGGCTGGCATGTGGTGCTGGGGGATCGAACCGCGGTCCCTGTACTTTGCCAAGCTTGTTCCAAGTAGGTGCTTTAGACCACTGAGCCATCTCTCCAGCCCCTGGGCTGTATTTTAGTAACAGGGAGTGTGTGTGTGTGTGTTTGTGTGTGTTTTAAAAACGAATAAATTTTATGTTGTTTCCTTAAATACTTAATGTTGTTTCTTATTGTATTAGAGCACAACAGGTGTGTTTAAATCTTTGTTTTATCTTGAAAAGGGGACAGTTATGATAAATCAAAATTCATTATGCCTTGTGTTGTTACAGAAGGCATTTTAAATGCCTAGCTGTTTTTAAAAGAAGCTAATTATTTATTTAGACTGCTTCTATTTTACTTTTAAGGTAAAAGAATTATCCTTTTCTTACAGTTAATATCTCACTACCTACTGATGCCACCCTGCCCCCAGAGGATTTTCCAACTATTTCTTCTACTGACCTGGTAAGTGACTTAATATTTTAAAACCTTTGTGTATTTACTGTATATCCTGTATCTTATTTGTAATATCCATACTATGGTATTGTCTACCATTCATAAATCCTAACATTTAATAATCATTGATTGTCAGAGAAAAAAGAAAACTCTTCTTTGCTCTAGTTAGCATTTGGAGGGTGGAAGCTTTGTTAAAAAAATTGAAGTCAGTGTTTAATTGTATGATATGCTTTTCAAACCTTCCTAAGAATTTAACTCCTGGATCCCATTAATTGTGACCTTGTAAGCCAGAGTCACAGAAAAATGAGAGCAGGCTGTCCTGTCTGTCTAGTGGGTGCCAGAGTGCTTCTGACTAGCCCAGTGGCACTGTGTTCTTTTCACTAAGAGTGATTATAGAAGGACATTTCCCCTGTCACTTAGAAAGGACTGTGACTCCATCACATGATCTCCTTTCCCATGGCTTGTAACCAAGGATTTTTAGGGGACTGGAACTAAGCTTTCAAAATGAGCTGTTTTGCATGGAAGGCCACACACTGGAAGGAGACTTTTGTATTGGAGAAAAAGAGGAAAAGTGCTGCTTCAGGCTTCTGATTGTGCTCTTTCTGTGCTAAATATGGACACTTACCAAAGAATATCAATCTCCCAGTTATAGGAACAGAAAGAATAACACCTTGTATTGATAGAGTGCCCATCTCTCGGGAGACTACAGAAGGTCTGCTGTAGATATTACATAGAGAGGGCCCACAACATCCCTTTCAAAGACAGTGCTTTGTGTCTGTCCTGGACAACTCTTTCCTGACCCCATTCCTCTCTTGTCTTCATGTTCTGCAGTTCTCTTGACCTTTTTCCTTACAGTTAGTTTTTTTTTTTCTGAAATTCTTCAAACCTTACCTCCCTGTTCTACATGTTTGATAGATAATATGTGTGTGTGTGTGCGTGAGAGAGAGAGAGAGAGAGAGAGAGAGAGAGTAAGTTTGTATATATAGTGTCCTAAAGATCACCTATAAAAAAGAATTAAATTTTCAGTCTTTTAGCTGGCTGAACTTGTGGCCCAAATTCTTGCCTAAAATATAAGGCAAGAGATGGGCACTCTAACAATACAAGGTATTATGCTTTCTGTTCCTATAACTGGGAAATTGATATTCTTCGGTTCATACGCAGCACAGAAGGAGCATAATCAGAAGCCTGAAGCAGCACTTTCCCCTTTTTTTCCCCCAATACAATTATATATTTCCATCTAGACTTCACAGAATTTTAACTAAAATTCTTATGGTTTAAAATCATACATTTACCTGTAGTAAAAATAAAATATTTATTTTTACTGCTTAAAAAGACACTGTTTCCTAACTAAAGTATTTTTACAACTAATTAAGGAAAGCCTTAGTGTTGGTGAATTTTAAGTCATTTTTTTAGTAATTGACACCTAATTATAAAATTGTATAGTCTCCCCAGTATAAGAACTCAAAAGAAGAAATAAAAATATGAAGGTATAACACAATTAAAAGGAAAGCAAGAACTTGAGGATCGGACAATGAAGAGAAGGCAAGGAGAAAAGCTAGGACACATGACAGGGGCAAAGCCATGCATTTATATGCACAAGATATGTAAGGCAATGATCCTGAGAATCTTCAGCATGTTACTGAAGCTAGCAGTTAATTGGTGGAATTCTCACCCTGACTATATATACTTATACCTGTGAACTAAGCAACTGCACTGAAGATAGCAATGTGTAATAGTAGGACCATGCTTGTAATGCCTGTCACTCTAGTCTTCCAAATATGTACTGCTTGTCATGATATAACAATTACTGCCATACTGTCTCTCAAGTAAATGTTTGTTTAAAAAAGTAAAAGGGTAATACATGAAAACAAGAGACAAGAAAAAAATGTCACAGGACTGTCTGGCTACCATGCTGTATGTGGTTAGATTTCTAAATTTCTGTATAAAAATATGTAACTCTTTATTCCTATTTTTTAAAATATTTTTTATTTAAATTTTTTTCTTCATATTCTATAAGCACTTAAAGTTTAACATATCAATACTTCATGGGAAATACCTGTTCCATGCTATGCCTAAAATGTTTGATATTCAGACAGATAGTGAGGTTCAGCTCAATTGCCTATGTGGTAGGGCAATAATAATAAGTTTCTTTTCTGGAAGATTAACAACCTAAATTTGCAGATCAAAAATTGGAGAAAAAGAAGGGCTACAAGGACAGCCAACATTTTGGTCCTAGCCATTCAAGGTCAGTGAAGACTCAGGACATAGAAGAACCTGTACTGTAACATCATGTAAGTCAGTTGTGTCCAAGATTTTCTGATCAAGAAGATGATCGGCCACAGAGGAAAGTGATCAACAATGTAGAGTGTGGCTAAGGAGAGTCACATGGAGAGAAAACAAGATGTTTTACATGTATTATAATCATATAACCTAATATGTGTTATAATCATTAGCACAGGGCTGAGGAGATAGCTCAGCAGTCTAAGCACCTGCCTGGCAAGTGTATGGACCCGAGCTTGATCTCTGGTACTGCATGCTGTGCCAGCCTACAGAATCCTAGGCATAGAGGTGTATCCCTATAATCCCAGTGCTGAGGAGGCTCAGGCAGAAGAATTACTATGAGTCCAAGCTATGTATTGAGACTCTGTACCAAATTAAAAAAAAATCATTAGCACAAAGTACTTGGCACAATTAGGTCCATCTTATAGATGAAAGAAACTGAAGTTCCAGAGGGTAATCTTTCTGGTCCTAGATCACATAACTGTATATTATTAGAATAAAGATTTGAGACCCAGTCCTAGCCCAGGTCTGGTGAGTGTGTGGAGAGCTTCCTGCTACCCTGCGCCGGC